AGTGGCTCCCTGTCAAACTCCCACCTCGCAAGAAACCCAACGTCGCACGACTTCGCCAGCTACTTGCGGAAGCCAAAAAGGAGGACTTGGGGAAAGACACGAAGGTCGAGGAGGTAAAGGAGGAGAAGTCGTCAAAAGACGAGCCGGTGTCGAAATAAGCGATTCGACGGCGTCGGCTAAGGACTTAGTTTCTACTGGTGCGCACTCATGTAATTCTAGTCGGACTTATACTACGTATGTAGGTACTCCGTTTGAACAATATACCAATTTTTTCGCCGCGTTACCAGTCGAGGAGACTAAGAACAAGGAATCGCAAAACGCCAATGGCGTAGGAGGGGATTTCCGCCGTCCTACGCAGCCAGCGATGGACAATGAACCCCTAGGGGCTGGTCCACCTCTGACACCCCCGCCTGACCGAACGGGGAAAGTTCTGGAGCACCCAGCAAGCGCCTCAGGTCAGGACAAGATGGACGCCAGACGTGGTGGTCGTCGCCCCGGCAGGGAGAATCGGCCGACGACTCCGGCGGGTGGGCCTTCCTGTCCATATGTAGGCCAGGTTGTTCCTCCCGTCAGTGGCGGAAAAGCAGCTGAGGCCGGGACTCAAGGGGACCACCTACATTTAGTAGTGGCCTCATCCGCAAATGATGCTGACCCCCTTGACGAGCCAATATGTGTGCGTCTGCCTCGAGTTTCCGAGAGTACTGCCGGCGTTAGGAAGGAGGTTAAGTACGGAATCACCGTGGAGGTTACAACACCGCGCACAAGCGCCCCTGATCAGGGCCGAACACAGGGCAGCGAGCCCTCCTCCACCAACTCGTCGGAAGGTGACCAAATGCCGCCGAGGGGCCTTCACGACCGGCCCGGTGACCAACTGCCACTCACGAGTAAGAAGCCGCCCGTTTCCGTAGAAGAAGTCGAAGACGAAGAAGCTTACCTACGATCCGATATCCCGACCATCGCACCGAAGGGGAAGTCGTGTGTGACCCCCATCATTGTTCCGAAAGACGAGGTTCGCAAACCCGTCCTCAATACCTACCACGAACCCTTCGGCCCGCACTGGACCCGAAGGGCGCTACGACTCGCTACCAACGAGTCGGCCGCTTTCGCTACCCTCAATCGTTGGATACACCCGTGACGAAAAGGGGAAGTAACAACTGAACTGTGGGAGTCACTGAAGGAGCAACCCGAAACGGCCGCAGAAGCAAGGGATAGGTGGCAGTGGCTAGAGGATCTCAAGAAGCCGCCCATGTACATACGAGGAAGGAAGGGGCATAATGTATCAATTCAGGTGCAATTAGAGACGTTGGACACTCGTGAAACTCATTCAGTGAAAGCGCTCGTGGACAGCGGGGGCAACCGGTAGCTCTATAGACCGTGTCTGGGCTCAGAGCCATGCCTTAAACCTTAAAAAGGCGGCCCGATCGGTCCCGGTCTATAATGCTGACGGAACTCGAAACAAGGGTGGTGACATCACCGAGTATGCCGAAGTACGGCTACGCATCGGGGACCACGTGGAGCGGATCGAGCTCGCCATTGTAGACTTAGGTTCCACCCCTCTCTTCCTCGGGCATGACTGGTTGCAGAGACATAACCCGTTGATTGATTGGGATACTGGGGCCGTCACCTTAGCCCGCTGTACTTGTCGAAAAATCCCCTTTTCCCTACCCGACACGGACCCGTCATCCCGATGGGACGAGTACGAGGAGGGGGACACCATTCTGGTAATTGATTTTGAAGAAGCATTCCATGTGCGGGCAATGGGGACCAGAGCCAACGAACTAGCCGCCAAAGCAAACGCTCGTAAGGAAGTAAAGTCATTCGAAGAGATCGTCCCGGCCGAATACAGGGACTTTGAGGACGTATTTGCCAAAGAAAACTTTGACAAACTACCCGCTCGAAAGCCATGGGACCATGCTATCGAGCTGATTCCCAACGCCAATGCCAACCTCGACTGCAAGGTGTACCCCCTCAACCCCGCGGAACAGGAAGAGCTAGATAAGTTCTTGGACGAGAACTTATCCACCGGACGCATTCAAGCCTCCAAGTCTCCAATGGCGTCTCCATTTTTCTTCGTAAAGAAGAAGGACGGGAAGCTCCGCCCAGTCCAAGACTATCGCAAACTCAATGAGATGACCATTAAGAATCGGTACCCGTTACCCCTCATTGGCGAGCTCATGGACCGACTAAAGCAGGCCAAGTATTTCACCAAGCTAGACGTATGGTGGGGATACAACAATGTCCGGATAAAGCAAGGAGACGAGTGGAAAGCCACTTTCAGAACTAACTGCGGTCTTTACGAGCTGTTGGTGATGTTCTTTGGGCTCACCAACTCGCCCGCGACCTTCCAATGGATGATGAATGACATCTTCAAAGAACTCATCACTGCCGGGGAGGTATCGGTCTATCTTGATGATATTCTCATCGCATCGAAGAACAAGGAGGATCACCGACGCATAGTACACGAAGTACTCCGGATTCTCCGCAAAAACAAGCTATTCCTCAAAGCAGAGAAATGCGAATTCGAGGTGGAAGAGACAGAGTACCTAGGGGTGCTCATCAGTGAAGGGAGGATCCGCATGGATCCCGTGAAAATTGCTGGCCTGTTGGATTGGCCTGTTCCATCGAAGAAACAGGAACTCCAGTCCTTCCTAGGCTTTTGCAATTTTTACCGACGGTTTATTCGCGATTACAGTAAACACGTCAAACCCCTCACCGCACTTACGGGAAAGGCGGAGTGGAAGTGGGGAGAGACCCAACAGAAAGCGTTTGACCAACTGAAGAAGCTGTTCCGGGAGGACGTCGTCCTGGCCATACCCCTTGACGAAGGAAGATTTTGAGTAGAGGCGGATTCTAGCGAAGGGGCAATAGGGGCCGTATTATCCCAGTGGCAGGAGGAGAAGTGGAGGCCAGTAGCCTTTCTTTCGAAGGCCCTGTCCGTAATGGAGCGCAACTACGAGATCTACGATAAAGAACTACTCGCTATCATGATCGCACTGGGGGAGTGGCGTCAATACCTTATGGGCGCTAGGGAAGACTTCGAGATTTGGACCGATCACTCCAATCTACAATACTTTCGTAAACCTCAAAAGCTCAACCGACGACAGGCTCGGTGGGTAACTGAGTTGGCCGAGTACCAGTTTACTCTGCACCACAAACCCGGGGCTCAAAATCGAAAAGCGGACTTGTTGTCTAGACGGGCAGATCATGATCAAGGGAAAGACGATAATCGAGACGTGACGGTCTTAAAACCTGCACATTTCCGTGCCCTCATCATGCCCACCGCAGAAGAGCTTCACGAGAAGATTAAACTAGCCACTCACGACCCCCATAAGTGGGATCGGGGTATATCCGACTCCCTCAATCACAAAAAGGGGGTCTCCCGAGATCAAGAATTGCTGTGGTACGACGGACGCATTTATGTACCCAGGGATAAGGGACTATGAGGCGAGATCATAGCCCTGCGACATGACCATGTAACCACGGGGCATCCAGGTATTGAGAAAACCAAAGAACTTATCTTACAGGATTATTGGTGGCCACGAATGCGCTCGGAGGTAGAAGCATACGTCAGGGGGTGCGAGGTCTGCCAGCGAACCAAGGCAGATCGTTGCCCTAAAAAGGCGCCTCTCCATCCGAATGAAGTTCCCAGTCGACCGTGGACACATATTTCGGTTGACATGATCACCAAACTCCCCGACTCGCAAGGGAACAATTCCATACTCGTCCTAGTTGATAGGTTCTCTAAGACCATCATACCCATCGCCTGCACCGAGGAGTTGTCGTCTCTAGGTTTCGCTAAAATCCTACGAGACTATATCTATGTGCCGTACGGCGTGATGCCAGAAAAGGTCATCTCGGATAGGGGCGCTGTCTTTGTCTCAAAATTCATGAAAGAGTTCTACGCCCTCATCCAAGTGACCGGGAATCCCTCGACAGCTTACCACCCTCAGACAGACGGACAGATGGAAAGAGTCAACCAGGAGATCGAAAAGTATCTCAAGATGTTTGTCAGCTATCGACAGGACGATTGGAGCGAGTGGTTACCACTCGCTGCGTTCACTCACAATAATCGTAAACATTCCGCCATGGGTTTCTCCCTGTACAAAGTAGTTTTTGGACGGGATGGGCAGGTTGTCAAGGTCGCCCAACACCAGGACGCAGTACCAGCTGCATCCAAGTTGGTCCAAGGAATCCAAGAGGTGCAAGAGAAAGCAAGGAAGTCACTCGAACGAGCAGCTGCATCCATGAAGAAGACCTATGACAAACACAAGGGGAAGGCGGTGGCATACCAAGTGGGCAACAAGGTGTGGTTGGACTCCACCCACCTAAACCTTCCGCGCCCGACGAAAAAGTTAGGAGATAGACGGGTAGGGCCGTTCAGCATTACCGCAAAGAAGGGGGCATCGGCTTATGAGCTGAAACTTCCAGAGAAGTGGAAGATCCATAATCGATTCAACGAATCTCTACTTACGCCTTACCACGCTCCCGAGTTCCCGAACCAACCGCGTCCTGAACGACCGCCCCCTGAGCTAATCGAGGATGAAGAAGAATACGAGATTGAGGAGATTGTGGGAGAACGAGACCGTATTGTGGGCTGGGGATGAACCCGCCGCACCATTACCGAGTACTTGGTGAAGTGGAAAGGATACCCAATAGAGGAGAACTCATGGGTTAAGCGCTCTGACATGGCCAACGCGGAGGAACTTGTAAACGACTACGAGGCCCACATACAGAAGGTATACTGGACGGTAAACGAGAAGGGGAAGACAGTCGGGAGGGACGACAAAATACCACTAGGACTCCCGATTCAGTACCACGAACCGGACACCCCGTGTGTCTCAGATATCGTCACCGTCCCATCTTCCCAATGTACCATGTCAAGGCACTCTGAGGAGCTTAATGCAGTAGGAGAGGTCGCAGCCTCAGACACAGGATGAGGACATGGCCCAGTATCAACAACGTTGTCGTTTCAACAATTGGTAACAGATATCTCGGAAGCCATGGACAGAGCCCTTCAGGAGAACAACGCCCAATACGTTAAAGACCACCCGGAGGAGGTCCACGAAGCTCCCCGACTACCTCATCCTGAACGACATGAAGGGCCCAAGTTCGACAACCCACGGGTACGCAACTCGTACTTAAAACACCGCAAAATAGAGATTGAGGCGTCAAGACGAGAACAGCGTCCCTACGTTAATCCTCCCATCCTTTTCAATCCACCCACAGACGACGAATCGGACCTTGGGCTACTTCAAAGAGTAACTGAGAACTGGGACGAAGGCCGCATTTCTGACGTCGAGTCGTTCGACTCCTGCTCCGCTACGTCCGACTCAGACGATTACGAAGAGGAAGGAGAATCTTGTTAGCCACTAACTCTTATCGACTTAGATCGTACTAAGGTCGCTACTCGCACTTCGGTAGACGACGCTTTAGCAAGTCAAAGGCGATGCAAGTCGATGGGACAGATAGTCACGAAGGACGGAGTTCGATGTTAGGTAGAATTAACCTTAGCCGAAGCTGGGGTTTAGGCCAGCTGAGGCTCTACTTAAATACACGTGAGTATTCTAAAAATACTACTGTGCAGTCAGTCCGTGATGATCGCGCACCGCGTAATCCGGCTGACTAAGAAAAGAAAAGAAAAGAAAAGAAAAAGGAAAAAGGAAAAGAATAATCGTAACATTACCCCCTCCTTAAGACTCATTCGTCCCGAATGAGAATATCTCCTTCCTTCCACATTAGCGGGTTGAGGGGCTCCCTTCTGCTTTAAAACAGGATCGATTGGACCTCCGCTACGCCATGAAAAGCCACTCGTTGCGTTCGGCCTCTGACCCTCTCTCCCCCTGGACTCAGGTTCCTATAAGTCCTGAGCCACCTTGCGCCGGTTAGGCCTCAACCGTCTGTCGGGATCCGCGATCCCTAAGGGTTCAATGCTCGTAATTGAGCGGTGGAAATCCCCTTCTACACCGTAAAAGTGGCCTGATTAGGCCGCGCTCATCTGGGATGAGTGTGTTGAGCTTGTCTCGCTCGAGTGGTATGATTCGGAATAGAAAGACCAGGTATCATCGTCTGAGTCTTCCTCGTTATCGGTAACCGCGTCCCAGTTTTCCTGTATGCGTTCGAGGTTTTGGAGGTTTACCTCTCCTTCTTCTTCCGAACAATCGTTGGGAAGGTCGATATGGTCAATGACTTCGGAAGGGGGGTAAGATGTTTGTTGCGTGTCCGAGTGTTTAGGATTGGTGCACTCGGATGAATACACGGTTTCGATGTCGGTGACGCAGGGGGTGTTGGGACCATGGTATTCGACAGGCAGGTTGCGTGGTATTTTGTCGTCGAACCCAATCGTTTTTCCCTCCTGGTTTACCGTCCAAATTATTTTTTGAATCCGGGACTCGTAGTCATTAACGAGTTCTTCGGCGTTGGCCATGTCAGAACGTTTTACCCAAGAGTTCTCCTCTATTGGGTATCCTTTCCATTTGACAAGGTATTCCGTGATGGTGCGACGAGTGCGTCCGCGACCCACGATTCGATCTTTCTCTCCTACAATCTCTTCAATCTCATATTCCTCTTCGTCGTCAATCAGCTCCGGCGGTGGTCGCTCAGGTCGTGGCTGATTGGGGAATTCTGGAGCCTGGTACGGGGTGAGTAGGGACTCGTTAAATCGGTTATGGATGCGCCACTTCGTGGGGAGTTTTAGTTCGTATGCTGAGGCTCCTTTCTTGGCAACAATTGTGAAAGGTCCTACTTGCCTATCTCCGAGTTTCTTTGTTGGGCGCAGGAGGTTTAGATTTGTAGAATCCAACCATACCTTGTCGCCGACTTCATAGTTCCGCGCCTTGCCCCTATGCTTGTCATAGGCCTTCTTCATCGACTCGGCCGCCCGCTCTAGCGATTCCTTTGCTTTCTCCTGCACCTCCTGAATTCCTTGGACGAGCTTGGAAGCCGCCGGTACTGCGTCCGGACGTTGGGCCGTCTGAATAACTTGCCCATCTCGTCCAAAGACTACCTTATACGGGGAGAAGCCCGTAGCGGAGTGCTTTCGGTTGTTGTGCGTGAACACCGCTAGGGGTAGCCAGTCGCTCCAATCATCTTGACGATAGCTAACGAACATCTTGAGATACTTCTCAATCTCCTGATTGACTCTTTCCGTTTGCCCGTCCGTCTGAGGGTGATAAGCTGTTGAGGGGTTACCCGTTACGTGAAGAAGGGCGTAGAACTCCTTCATGAATTTGGACACGAACAGGGCCCCCCTGTCGGAGATGACTTTTTCGGGCATCACCCCATACGGTACGTAGATGTGGTCTCGTAGAATCTTGGCAAATCCAAGAGACGACAATTCTTCAGTACAGGCTATGGGGATGATGGTCTTAGAAAACCTGTCAACTAGGACAAGAATGGAATCGTTCTCTCTGGAATCGGGCAGTTTAGTGATCATGTCGACTGAGATATGCGTCCATGGTCGATCCGGGACCTCGTTAGGGTGAAGGGGCGCCTTCTTGGGACGATGATCTGCCTTGGTGCGTTGGCAGACTTCACATCCTTTCACGTATGCTTCCACTTCGGAGCGCATCCTGAGCCACCAGTAATCCCGTAGGATAAGTTCCTTGGTCTTTTCGATCCCTGGGTGTCCAGCGGTGGCATGATCATGCCGTAGGGCAATGATCTCCCCCCGTAGTTGTTTGTCTCGGGGTACATAGATTCGTCCATCGTACCATAGCATCTCCTGTTCCCGGGAAATTCCTTTTTCGTGATTGAGAGAGTCGGAGACCCCTCGATCCCATTTATGCGGGTCATGGGTCGCGAGTTTGATTCTCTCTTGCAGCTGCTCCGCTGTAGGCATAACGAGGGCTCGGAAATGAGCAGGTTTGAGGACTGTAACGTCCTGGTTGTCCTGCTTTCCCTGATCATGATCCGCCCACCGAGACAGTAAGTCGGCTTTGCGATTTTGCGCCCCCGGCTTGTGGTGCAAAGTGAACTGGTATTCTGCTAGCTCAGTCACCCATCGAGCTTGTCGTCGGTTGAGTTTTTGGGGCTTGCGGAAGTACTGGAGATTGGAATGGTCCGTCCAAATCTCGAAGTCCTCCCGAGCGCCCAGGAGGTATTGCCGCCACTCTTCCAGCGCGAGCATAATTGCGAGAAGTTCTTTGTCGTAAATCTCGTAATTACGTTCCGTTACGGATAGCGCCTTGGATAGGAACGCGACTGGTCACCACTTCTCTTCTTGCCATTGGGACAGTACGGCCCCTATGGCCCCTTCGCTGGAGTCCGCTTCTACCCTGAACTTTCCTTTGTCCAGGGGGATGGCCAAGACCACGTCTTCACGAAAGAGTTCCTTGAGTCTTTCGAAGGCCTCTTGTTGGGCTTTCCCCCACCTCCATTCGACCTTCCCCATGAGCATGGTGAGGGGCTTTACGTGTTTACTGTAGTCCCGAATGAATCGGCGATAGAAGTTGCAAAAGCCCAGGAACGACTGGAGCTCTTGTTTCTTGACGGGGATGGGCCAGTCCAAAAGTCCAGAAATCTTGATTGGGTCCATACAAATCTTGCCTTCGCTGATGAGTATGCCCAAGTACTCCGTCTCTTCCACCTCGAACTCGCATTTCTCTGCTTTGAGAAACAGGTTGTTCTCGCGAAGAATGCGTAGTACCTCTCGTACGATACGTCGATGCTCTTTCTTGGTTTTTGATGTGATTAGTATATCGTCGAGGTAGACTGATACTTCTCCCACGGTGATGAGGTCCTTAAAGATGTCGTTCATCATCCACTGGAAGGTAGCGGGCGAATTGGTGAGTCCAAAGAACATCACGAGGGGTTCGTAGAGGCCCCGATTGGTTCGAAATGCAGCTTTCCACTCGTCTCCCTGCTTCATCCTGACGTTATTGTACCCCCACCGCACGTCCAGTTTGGTGAAGTACTTTGCCTGCTTCAGCCGATCCATCAGCTCCCCAATAAGGGGTAGCGGATACCTGTTCTTGATCGTCATCTCGTTGAGTTTGCGGTAATCCTGGACCGGACGTAGTTTACCGTCCTTCTTCTTAACGAAGAAGAATGGTGATGCCATGGGGGACTTGGAGGCTCGAATACGTCCCGTGGCCAGGTTCTCGTCGAGAAATTTGTCCAACTCCTCTTGTTCCACAGGGTTGAGAGGGTAGACTTTGCAGTCTAGGTTGGCGTTAGCATTGGGTACGAGCTCAATCGCGTGATCCCACGGTTTTCGTGGCGGTAGCTCGTCGAAGTTTTCCTTGGCGAATACATCCTCAAACTCTCGATATTCCTCAGGTACTATGTCCTCGAAGGACTTGGCGGTTTTCCGAGCATTAGCCTGGGCGGCGAGTTCGTTGGACTTCGTCCCCATGGCTCGTACATGGAACGCTTCTTCGAAGTCGATAACTAAGATGGTATCCCCTTCTTCATATTCTTCCCATCGGGAGGTAGGATCTGTGTCAGGAAGCGTGAAGGGTATCTTCCGACACGTACAGCGAGCTAGGGTAACGGCCCTGGTGTCCCAGTCTATTAGCGGGTTGTGTCTTTGCAACCAATCGTGCCCAAGAAAAAGTGGGGTGGATCCTAAGTCCACTACGGCTAATTCGATCCGTTCCACGTGATCTCCTATACGAAGCCGTACCTCGGCATACTCGGTGATGTCCCTGCCTTTGTTTCGGGTGCCATTGGCGTTATAGACCGGAACAGGTCGGGCTGCCTTTTTGAGATTGAGGGCGTGACTTTGGGCCCAGGCGCGGTCTATCGAGCTACCGGTAGCGCCGCTGTCCACTAGCGCCTTTATGGAGTGTGTTTCTCGGGTGTCTAACGTCTCCAATTGCACGGTAATCGATACATTGCGCCCCTTCCTCCCTCGTATATACATAGGGGGCTTGGCGAGATCCTCCATCCATTCCCATCTGTCCCTTGCCTCAACGGCCGTCTCGGGTTGCTCCTTGAGCGCTTCCCATAGCTCCACCGTCACCTCTTCTGTGCGTCGGGGGTGCACCCACCGATTAAGGGTGGCAAAGGCGGCGGATTCGTCATTGGCTAGTCGCAGCGCCCGTCGGGTCCAGTGTAGACCGAAGGGTTCGTAATAGGTGTTCGGAACGGGTACCCGCTTGACGGGTACTTGTTTTGGAGCGGGGGCCGCGGTCGATTCTCTAGGCGGCGTCCGAACCGGGATGTCGGACCGTAGGTACGCTTCTTCATCTTCTACTTCCTCCACGGAAACCGAGGGGGTCTTGCCTCGAAGTGGCATTTGGTCACCTGGACGAGAAAGGTCCAGAGGCGGCACTTGGGCGCCTTTGGAAGTCGAGGTGGTGGAGGAGGGCTCGCTGCCCTGTGTTCGGCCCTGGCCACGGGCGCTTGTGTGCGGCGTTGTAACCTC